TCTTTCCCCAGTCCCAGATATATTACATGCCTGATAATATGGTCTCAAGCTTTAGCATGGCAGAAGTGCCTGCCCTGATTGCAACCTGAGACATCTAATTGCGGGCTACATGGCAACAAAAGTGGGCCCTCTTAAGCTCACAGAACCAAACACCAGACAGTACATTATTTAGCTGTTGCCAAACCTGGGTAGCTTCCAAATCAAACAGAACTAGAGGGCAATGGGGAATTTATTTTTTGCCCCTTTCACAGCCATCTTTTTTTAAGTTCAGGCTGCAGGCAACACCAATGACCACAGCAGATGCCTAATACAATGCAGAATCAGCAAACTTTACTTCAAGACACACAATGGCTGTTTCTGCACCATTCTTAGACCTCAGGAGCACTTCCCAAGAAAACCTCCTAAAAAAAAAAATCGACATTGCTGTCTATTTCAGCCATATAATTTGCAAGGATTCCAACAGTCTTTATTGCCCTATTTTTGCTTTCCCAGGAGAAGCAACTGGCAACTACATAAATCCACCCCTGAAAGGTTGTGGAGGTTTATTGTGGGGAAAGGTGGCTCACAGCACTCGAAGCTATTTATACTTCTGACAACAGAAGAAAGGTGACTTCATTGGAATAACACAGGAAAGCTTTTAGTTGTTCTGGATTCCTCTCCTTGGGATTTTTTCAAATGTAACATTTACATTTTTTTACTTTGTGTTTTGTTTTTGCCAATCTTCTTAAAAAGTTCTCTTTACAACAGCAATCCATGCAAATCCTGCAATTACATTTCAAGGCAACACACATTCCCGAGGTCACTTTGGAAGTTCAACGCAGAGATTGGGCCTGCGAAAGTCAAGAAGCCTTTGGGAATATACTCTTTTTAAAAAAACCATAGAAATAAACCTGGAGTGGAGATTCATTCCCAGATCAGAAAGTCAAGCAGAAACTGACTCTGACAAAAGGTGGTATCTTCTGTATTTCCTGAGAGATCAGAAGTACTCTGCTGCATCAAAAACCAGTGGTCTATCATCTAGCTCAGCATCCTGTTTCACACAGTGCCCACACAGTTGTCCTTGAGCACCAATAAAGAGAGTGCAGAGCCCAAGGCTTTTCCCTGATGTTACCTCCTAGCACTGGTGTTCAGAGGCACAGGGCCTCCAAATGTGGAGGCTCCCTTTAGTCAACATGGCTAGTAGCCATTGATGGACCAGTCCTTCATGAAACTGTCGAATTCCCTTTTAACTGTCGAATTCCCTTTTAACGGCCATTACTGCATCCTCTCACAGTGAATCCCAAAATTTAATCATTTGTTGAATTGATCCCACTAGGTTTCCCAGACAGCGGTTTCTTCCCCCCCTCCAGGAGAGGGCAAGCTGTTCAAGCAGAACAGGGAAAACAGGGAAAAAGTGCAGACTGATCTAGAAATTAGTTGTTTAGCTGTTTGGACCCTGAGCTGGACATTCCATTCAGATCACAGGAGTCCATTTATATTTATAGCACATACATGGGTAGTCCTGTGGTGAGCACTGGCCAGAGCCTGCAGAAAGGAAAGCATAGCTGTGCATAATTAACTGGGAAACCATGCTGGATTTCCACCACTGACCCATGTGGTGGAGAACCAGCCTGGTATAGTGGTTGGACCCCAACTGAAGGACCCGGATTCAAAGACCCTGCCAGCCATAAAACTCACAAGGTGCTCCTGGGCCAAATATTATCTGTCAGCCCAACCAACATCCCAGGGTTGTTGTGAAACTAAAACCAGGAAGGAGAAAAGCACATCCTTTTAGCCAGACCGACTAATTCTCTCTTTAGATGTGCCACTTCCCTCAGTTAAGCCAGTGCAGAGCGGGTGGTTAGAGTGTCAGACTAGGTTCTGGGAGGCCCAGGTTTGAATCCCCTCCGGCCACGGAAGCCCACTGGGTGACCTCGGGCCAGTCGCACACACGCAGCGTCACTTGTCGCAAAGGATTGTTGTGAGCATAAAGTGGAGGAGAGGAGAATGACGTGAGCGGCTCTGGGTCCCCACCGGGGAGAAAGGCGGGGTATAAATGAAGTAAACACACAAATCTCTGCAATCTTGCCGTAGGGGAGGAAAGACTCAAAGCCCCTCCCCGGCCCGGAAGAATGTTCCATAGTAACCCCGCTGGGAAATCGCGCTAGGGCATCCTTCTTCATGGCTTTCGATACCCGCTTTCCCCCCAGGGGAAACTGCAGTCTTTGGCAGAGTTCTTTTGCTAGCTAGGTGACAGGCCGACACTCAACAGTCACTGTGCAAAGCTCACCAGTCACTGTGCAAAGTCTTGTAGCTAGAGCTGCCTTTCCTAGCACGCAGCTCTGAAAGCCCCCCCGGGAAAACCCAGAGACGACTCAGTGTTCCCTCTAAGCTGAGTTAGTGTGAGCTAGCTCACAGTTTTTTAGCCTCCGGCTCACACATTTTTGTCCTAGCTCAGGAAGGAGGGCTCCAGAGCAAACTGATTTATGCAGCAGCCAAATCGCTCACTCACAACTTTAATGCCAGGAGCTCACAGAGTAGAATTTTTGCTCACAAGGCTCCACAACTTAGAGGGAACACTGGAGGCGATGCCCACCCCCTAGTCAAGCTGTAAACGCCGTTCCCCCCTCCCCTTTCGACTCCACCTTGCGCGCACCCCCTCCGCTCATGACCCTCCCTTACCTGGAGAGCGGCCCCTCCTCGCCACGCCGCGGTAATCCCCCTGAAGAGGGCTCGGGACCCCAACATGGTCTCTCCGTGCTGGCGAAGGAACCGGCGGCCGCCTGGGTTCCTGCAATCCCCTTTAAGGGACTTCCTCCTCCTCCTCCTGCGGCTTCTCTCGCCTGACCCGCCCGCCGGCACTTCGCTCAGCATTGGACGGCCTCGACCTCGTGGCCGACTCCCATGGAAATGCTCCCGGCCGCATTGGCTGCCTGTGAATTGCAGCGGAAACAGCAGGGAGGGAAAGGAGGTCGGGGGAAGACAGAAATGTGTTTTAAAGCTATAGATAGACGGGAGGGAATAAGTACACCCCAGAAACGGAGGGAGGGAGTGGTCCCCCTGGGCTTTTTCTATATCAAGCAATTGGAAAACAAAGGGGAATTAAATGTAGTGTCGCTGAGATCATTGTGCTTTATCAGGAGCCCAGTGGCCAGGGTTACCAATCTCCAGGGTGATGTACTAAAAGGAAGGACAGGATCGCCCATTGAAAACAATGGGAGACGCCTGAAGCCAGGAATGCCAATGGACTTGCATTGGCTCCATTGGAAAACATTAGAGTACAAGTAGAGTTGCAATCACAATGCGGAATGGATTTCCCATTAGGGTCTCTGGGCCCAAATACACGACTCTGGGGATGGAATGAGAGACTTCAAGCGCCTCCCATTGTTTACGATGGGCAATCCTGTCCTTAATTGTAGTCATTCCCGGATTTTGGCACAAGGAATTAAAGCGCCGCCCCGGGGCTGAGGGAGGCCAGGGAACGCTTCCCTGTGAACGGGCGAATGGGAGTTAAAGGGAACCTTCCCAGGCCTGCAGGAGTAGAAACATACTTGGCCCTCAGGAACTCAGGGGCAGCCGGAGGAGCCGAGAGGAGGCGGGGAAGGATTCGCGGGG